TAAAAGAAATAATAATATTTGTAGAGATGAAGATTGTTAATATCCAAAATAGAGAACTATGTGAGTTTTTACAACAAAATATATTATAAAAACCAATCAATATAAATAAAAGTAAATCTATATCTACAAATATTGTGGTGAGGTTGCTGAATGTAAAGAATACCTTATAAAGAAAAATAAAATACATTCTTTTCATTCTTTGAAAAAAGAACAAATGCCTATAAAACAATAACAGTCTGAAAGCTACTAATCAACCGTAATATAAAGAAAATGGGACAATAATTTCCAAATGAATAAGACACACAAAAAAGAAAGTGAATTGTAATATTTTAATTTAATATTTTAAAAAGTATTATTTTTCAAAATAACTTTAAGCATTAGAAAAACAAGTATTTAGAAACCTTAGAAGAATATATGCAATAGTATTGAATAAAACATGTTAAGAATTTTCATATATACTATGATAATACTACCTATAACTTTTATTACTTTTTATGTAGTACTTTGTTGTAATGACAAGGAAAACGACTTCTACAGAGTAGAAGGAGTTGAACACTTTCTATTACAGTTTTTTTGGAAGTGGACAGGATAAAACTCAGGGCCTCAAGTGCTCTCCTGCTGAGCTACATCCCTAACCATGAATGCTTTTAAATAGAAACAGTATAGAGGGGTAAAAATACTGAGTTTCATAGTCTTAAATGGTATTAGTATCTCCTCTCATCAAGAAAATTAGCCCACAGCCTCTCAAACTCTTGTTTCTTCTCAAAGTAGTTTGCCATTGGAATCTCCCTCTCTCCTACAATTTCTACTTTTTTTTTAAATTGAATCACCATGAGATTCACAGTTACAAAGTTGTTCATGATTGGGTTTTACTCATATAGTATTCCAACACCTTCCCTTCACCAGTGTACATTTACCACAACCAATGTCCATGTAACCATCCAGGTAGGAACTTGCAAAAATCTGGTGTAGGAACGGCAAAGTGGGGGACTGTGAACATTTCCATAAAATGTAGAAAAATAGTTTGAAAGGAAAGATAATATAGGCAGGCCACTGGTTACTTGCCTTATATGACCCTGAACTGGGTTTGATTCCTGGTACCCCATATGGTCCCCCAAGTACTGTCAGGAGTGATATCGGTGTGCAGAGCCAGGAGTAAGCCCTGAGCACAGCTGGAAGGAAGGAAGGAAGGAAGGAAGGAAGGAGAGAGAGAGAAAAGAAAGAAAGAAAGGAAGAAAGGAAGGAAGGAAGGAAGGAAGGAAGGAAGGAAGGAAGGAAGGAAGGAAGAAAGAAAGAAGGAAAGAAAGAAAGAAAAGAGCAAGGCAAATTTGTGAAGAATATCCCCAATAATCCAAATAGATAAAGTGAAACAGAGAAAATGTTCAAGAGAAACAGGAAGTTCTGGGACTCAGAGAAATCTCAAACAGCAAGAGAACAGCTATCAAAAATCAAACTAGAAAGATTATATCTTCTCAAGACAGTAATTGATTTCTAGTTGGCACTTTAGCGCCAGCTTTGGAATATTATGTAACAGTTGCGGTAGCAGCAAACAGAACTTGATGGTTATGGAACCTCTGTGTGTATGTAGCGTTTAGAAATTCCTTATAAATATAAAGCACATGTTGTCATCTGTTTTGCAAGGTCAGTTGCCCTTTAGACCTTTATATTCCCAATAGATTTTAGCCTCAAGGACAGGATAGCAACTTCAGAATCTAATTTTCCTGTCTAGGGGAGGTCAGAAAAGAGATTGGGGAGCAGCAAGAAGATAGAAGGTAAACCAAAATTAATTCGTTGTAGTATTTTATAACTCATTGAATGAATTATTTAACTCTGAATTTTTTTTGCTGTGAATTATCTGGGTCAAACACATAACTGTCCTCACTTTGACTGCCAGCCATAGTCAGGTCACAGCTCAACAGCCCAGTAAACAGAAGTGTGCTGGAGAAGAAAGATTAAATTCAAATATATACTTTTCATTATTTAAAAAAGACTGGAGGTAACATAGAGACAATTCCTGGAGGGTCATGTGCTCTTTAGTGGTTATATGGCTCAGTAACTTGTACACAAATGCCATAAATTTTAACACCACAGTAACCACGTTACCTAAGGTAAAAGGTAAAGGCCCTCCCGTTGATCGTCGATTTGCTCGAGCGGGCCCAGTAACATCTCCATTGGAGACTTTGTTGTTACTGTGTCTGGCATATCAGATACTCTCGGTAGCTTGCCGGGCTCTCCGAGAGGGGCAGAGGAATCGAACTCGGGTCGGCCATGTTGGCCGCTTGTAAGGCGAACGCCCTACCTGCTGTGCTATCGCTCCAGCCCTGTGTTACCTAATGATAATAAAATTTTTAATGAATTTTTTTGGTTGCTATGTTTTTTTTAATAATGTGTGAATTTACCTTCTGATTAAGTGTCACTATTTCCCTATCCTACTTTAAATCTATACTGTCCCAAATGGGAGAACTGATTCCACAAAACACCTCAAGCCATTTGGGGGAATTGAATTGAAGGTTTTAAAATTGATTGTTATCTTTTCATTTAGCTTTTGCTAAAAAGCAATGGCAAAGGCTACATAAGGACAAGAGGGACACTTACGCTGATTTTAATAGTGTTCCTCAATTTTACCCAATTTCTATATGTAGTATCAGGAAGTTTGGGAGAAAACAATATCTTTATTATTTTCTGAAAAATATTTTCTCTGCCTTTTTTCCCCTTTCCAATCAATCAAGTCTCAAGAGCTTGACTTACCACTGTGATAAGAAGTGCTGGGGCTCAAGTTTTAGAAACAGTTGAGATCTCAGCTTCAAGGAAGATGGAGGATATACTGGTGGGATGTACTGGGGGCAAAGTGACATTATCTACCAAACTTGCGGCAGGGAACAAATTCTATGATTTATGGATGATACACTATCCAGAGTTAGGAGAAACAGTTCAGCAAGAAGGCTAGATTGCACTGCTGAGTGTGAATTCAAGTTTTTCCACTTTTCAGCTTTCTTAGTCTTGACCCAATCATTTAACCTTTCTGAGCTTCTGTTATCACATTTGTAAAATGTCTAATCATAATAAGATATTTATTTTTATATTAAATTGTTAACTGATTTAAATAAAAATGGTTAATAAAAAGCAGTTGGTGCAGTACCTGGGACAAAGTAGTTGTTACTTGTCATATACATAATCAGAAGAAGAATGGGAAGGAGTTCCTGCTGGATAATGTTCTCCAGAAAAAGATAATGTTCCTCCCCTCTTTTGACTTCTGTTATTGTTCACACATACCTTTACCTCCCCAGAGGCGAGGGCAGCAAGCATTGATTATGAGAGGTGACACAGCTACTGTTAGTTCACGAATTAGTAAAGTAATTGATGAACCCATCCATAGATTTCACATTCATGGACTCAACAAGCTTTAAGGTGCTCAGCAGAAAGCAACTCAGCCAGCTTTGGCCTAAGGGAGCTTGTCTCCTCAGCACCCTCATCCCTCACAGGCCAGCCTGAGGACAAAGGGTCTGGCTTGTGGCCGACTGAGGAGAGGAACTCATGGCTGGGCCTGCTAGTCAGAGGCAGCTGCACGCCATGTAGTCAAACATCTTGTTCAGTTTCCCTTTCCTGTGTGTCTCACACCAGGGCTGAGATGGCTTCTCTCTTGGTGCCAACGGTGGGAAAATAAGCAGCAGGAAGTGGTAGATGAGGAAAAAGCAAATACATCAAGACACATGATGTGAGGCAGGGACCTCAGCCAAGCCCAGTTACAGATGAAGAAATGAAACCCCCGAGTGGAGCAGTCAACAGGGAAATATGAGTTTTGTGACGCCTGATGATGCTGTCTTGTGGAGGTGGGTGGGGACATGCTCTTAAAAATATAGAATTCAAGGGCAAAGAGATAGTGACAGGGATTAAGGCACCTTCCTGGCCTGCGGCCAGCCCCTTTTCAATCACCTGCTCCTCATGATCCACTAAGCATGTCTGGTGCAGACCTGGAGCTTTACCTCCATTACCATCTTGGGTGACCCTGAAGGCCCTGGTGCACCACAGGGTAATCCAGGGAATTCTCAGCACCGCAGGGACCAAGTGGCACCATGTCCTCAGGCCCTAGTACTGAACTGACTGCCCAGTTGGCACAAAATTGCCAAAATGGGCCTCTGGACACTTCTGAGAACTGCTTTGAACCTCCCCCCTCATTATACACACACACACACACACACACACACACACACACACGTTCAAAATAAAAAAATTACAGAATTCAAAATACAAAATAGCTACTGCAATACCGCAATAATCAAAATTCCAAGGAAGAAAACATAACAGAAAAGTCACACTGGAGACAGGAATCTTAGTATGGTTAAATGACCTAAAAACATAAGACCACTTTGTTAGGTCCTCTTAGGAGGTCCTGAGGAAGGCTTTGGCAAAGACGTGAGCAGTGAGAAGTCCTCAGGCTCAGTTTCATACGCTTGTAAATGAGCTGATGCAAGTAGTTGATGGTGACTGGAGAAGATAATAGATCTGATTTCCTGATCTGTTGGTAAGCAAAGTCAACAATGATATTGGGGGTAGGCTGGTGGAGAAGGCAGGGGATGGAAAAGTGGAAATATTATGTGCTCTCTAAAGGAATGAGACTTTTTAAGCTCGCCGACTATTTTCTAAAACCCGAGAAGGCCAGAAATGAAACAGAAACCAGAAGGGAGTTTGCGAACAGCACAAGCACTAGCCCCTCTATGCCGTTCTCTTATCTAAGACCACTGGAATGGGATGACAGAGGGGGAGGAACCTCAGAGGGGTAGGGGGTAGGGCTCCACCCCAGGCCATCAGCAGATCTACCTGTTCTCAAACCGGGCACTGCTTGCTTTCCCAGGAAAGACTTACTTGTGCACGTGCTCTTGTGCGATGTTGGGTAACATACAAAGTGAGTAAAACCCAGGTTTCAGACCAGACTTACAGAGCTCGGTTTATCAGGAGATAGTACAAAGAATGCAGAATTTACAAAGTTGAAAGTTTCTTACCATATATCTGGAGGAAGATCACAAGGAGAATCTTATATAGTCCCATAGTGCTAGATTTAAAAAGGGAAAGAGAAACTTGGTTAGAGGGTGAAATAGAAAAATAAAAAATAAAAAGTGGAGCTTGGATTCACATAGATGCATGTGTGTGGCAGACATTTTGCTCCGTGTTCCCCAAAGTGATTTCCTTATCCTTGCTCCTTAGATACACATGACTTCATCTCCTCAACAACAGAGTCATGCGATTGGGCTGCAGCCAATGGTATAGTGGTCAGAAAATATGTATATTATTTCTCAAGACTCAGCTGCTAAAATTTCTCTCTCTTTCATCCTTTCCATTTCCTTTCTAAGGGGAAGGGGCACATCCTATGATGTTCATGGCTATCTCCTGGCTCTTGTTCAGGGATCACTCCTGGCAGCACCTGGGAACCATATAGGATGCCGGAATTGAATGCAGGTTGACCTAGAAGGCAAACACCTTTCCTGTTATATTAACTCTCTGGTCCCCCTTCTCCTGCGCTCTAAAAGTCAGGGATGCATTGAATGCTGTTGCCTTCTAAAATGAAGCCGATTCACACATTTACCCCAACTTTGACTAAAAAGGCATGGGCTGACTCACAGGGGAACAGAGTAAAGAAAAGTGACTAACATCAGAAACAAAGTAAAAAGCAAACCAAATTCAGCAACATAAAAGCAGAGCCAGGTAAAAGTCAGTGTTATAATTACCATAGAAATCTACCAAGTGGACCATGGTGTGAGTCTCAAGTTTGGCCTAAAGATTAAATTTCTTTTTTTATTACTGGTAGCTGAGTTTTAGGCATACAATAATTCAACATCAATCTCTAGTCTTAAGGTTTTTAGCAGTCAGTGTAAAGAGAAAATCCCAATTGCTAAATGAATATGATATGATAAAACTGGCATGTTCTTACAGTAAAAAAATATGCTTGGATACACAAATGAATCTCGGACCCAAGCAACATGCGGCAGAGATGGCCCAGGACTTTGCAATAGGCCTTCTCCACTGGGCTGCTCCAGATGGGAGCAGGTGCCGTCCCTCCATCTCCCCTTTAGGAGCCCTGGGGCTGCCATTTTCAGCAAGAAGCTCCAGGTATGAGTCACGGTGACGGCAAATCCCAAGTCTCTCGGGACAGGGGAGTAGTGGGCCTTCCACCCCCCTGCCCACTGTCTACTTAAGCTCCCACACAGCCATGATACAAAGACACACAAATGAATCTCGGACCTGAACAACTTGTGGCAGCTATTTATTCAGACCCTGATTATTGAAATCTTACAATTCCTAGAGTGTGCAGCCGCTCTCTGGCCACGTGACATTATATTCTATCCATAGCAAGCAATACAAAACATGTTGTCTAGCGTTGCATTTGTGGCAGGTATGAGGAGTAGTAGGACTGGTCTGGAAATATTGCAGGTAACTCAAGTAGAGAAAGAATGTCTTGCAAATTGCCCGCCACACAGGAAGGGGGAGGTGAGGAGTGGGGAGGAGGGCGATACTGGGGATTTTGGTGGTGTAAAACATGCACTGGTGAAGGGATGAGTGTTTGATGACCTTATGACCAAAGTTCAAACATGAAATGTTTGTTACTGTACCTCATGGTGAATTAATAAAAATAATTAATGAAAAAATATATGCTTAAGAGAATATGTACAACTCTTAGCGCCTGGCAGAAATGTCTTCCTTCCTTGTGTGGAGCGGCCCTGAGCCTTGGGGCCCTGTCAGGTGTCTCCTTTCCGTGCCATGGCACCCAATCCAGGGTTACCTAAAAGTGCTGATCATGTTTCTTCTCATCTAGACTATTACTTCTAATAGTTTTCTAACACTTTTCTAATAAAAAATGTAATCAACCTAGCCTGCACACCAAATTGAAAAGGTAAATGTGATAAATAGTAGAAACAAGTTTTTCTTCCAAACTCGTCGCTAAACTATCTCATTTTCTGCATATGTTTAAGTGAAATGAGGACTTTACTAAGTTTTCCCTCCCCTTTCTTCCCCTCCCCTTCCGTCTCCTCCCCTTTCCTCCTCTCCCTCCTCCTCCCCTCTCCCACTCCATGAGATTGTCTTGTGTCAGCACATATTAAGTCTCCTAACAGAAGCATATCTGCTATGTGCTATTAGATGGTAATTAATTTTGCTAGCCCCTACCAATGAACATCATGCTGTTTCTAACATTTTACTCTTATGAACAATCTCAGTCATAAGCCCGAATCACATATGTGGCAGTAAGCTATCTTCCTAGAAGAAGAATAGCTGGACAAAAGGGTCAAAAATAATCGAACTTTTCATTTTTATGGATATTGAAAAGTTGTTCTTTATTAAAATTGTATTTATGATAACACAAATATAACAAAAACATACATATTTCACATAGATTTTGACAACATAGTATATTTACTCATTTATGATTTTTACCAACTTTCCCCAGAAAGGTTAAAATGGCATTTCAAAATTTTAAGAACATGGTTAATTCTCGAAAAATACACTAATATAAAATTTGCCATCTTACACTTTTTGGGTGAATGGGGCCATACTCCTGGCGCTCAGGGCTACTCCCAGTTCAGTACTTGGAGGTCATTCCTGACAGTGCTCAGTGTTGGGAATTAAACCCAGATCTTCAGCATGCACAGCCTGTGCTCAGCCTGTTGAGCTCTAAGGATTCACATTATTGTGCGACAGTCACCTAAGGATGCCTTCTCCAGAAGTCTTTTCAACTTGGTAAATGCTGTACCTACCAAAAGAATCACTCTCTCCCCTGCTTCTATAGTTCCTGGAAACTACCATATGACCTCTGTCTCTGTGTTGACTTCTTAGTACCTCATAGAAGTGGAATTATACAACTTTTGATCGGTTGTAGCATGTGTCTAATTCCTTTCCTTCTTTTTGTGACTGAATGGTATGTGTCTTTATATACATATGTATGTATATATACATATCTATCCAGACATATACATATATACACATATCTATCAATACATATATACATGTATATATGTATATATCCATATATATGTATATAGACATATACAGGTTGCATATACATGTACTTATCTGTTGATAGAATTTGATTGACTTCTACCTTTTTGTCTATTTTGAATAATATTATGAATGGGGGTGTAGGAACATCCCTTTGAGTCACTTTTTTTAAAAATTTATTTTTTAGATAATAATTTTTTTTTTGCACTTTATGTTTGATGAATACCTTTATTGAAAAGCTGGATGCATGCCTTTCACAGAGTGTATGATAAGTATTCTTGGGCTCTGGAACTCTGGGACTTTTTAGATAGACGAGGCCACAATCAGGGTAGTAGTGCAGCTTGCTGGAGTCTGGCTTTCACCTCCCCTCAGCAAAGAGTGGGTGATAAGCTGAGGACCCGCTGGCTCAGAGGGCCAGCTCTCACCAGTGACCATAATCAAACCACAGGTGATTTTCCGCCCTTACTTGTGAGACCCTGCTTTCATTTCTTTTGGTTATATTCTCAGAAGTGAAATTACTGGATCATATCTGTTATTCTATTTTTAGTTTTTTGAGGAACTATTATATAATTTCCATACAACTCTACTATTTAACATTTCTATTAATAGAACATAAAAGCTCCAATTTTTCCACTAGCCAACGCTTCTTTCTGCTTTATTATAGTATCATTTTCAAGGTTGGGAGATGGATTTCACTCTAACTTTATGCCGTCATTTTCCTGAAGTCACACTCAGTGGAGACTGGGGGCTTGGGAAAACATTCAGCATCCAACAACCAAGGGTGGAGGGATGGGGGCATGTGGTTTTGGAGCTCGATCTCAGGACACCCCATGAATGCTGCTTTACCAGTATAGCTATCTCCCCAATTAATTCCACTACAATATTTGCAATACTTACTTACTTACTTAGGCTTTAGTCCTCATACCTGGCAGTGGTCAGAGTTATTCCTGACTCTGTGTTTAGGAAGGAATAACCGCCTCAGGGTGCTCAGATGACCATAAAAAGTACTGGAGATGAAACTGGGTCGGTGCATGTAAGACAAGGGCCTTCTCTTTGTATTACCTCTCTATCCCCTCACTGTAATTTTTAAAAATATTTTTATTAGTGAGACATCATGAGGTACAGTTGTAGACTTACAAATTTTTGTGCTTGGGTTTCAATTATACAATGATCGAGCACCCATCCCTCCACCAGTGCCCATTTCCCACCACCACGGATCCCAGTATCCCTCCCAACCCGCCATCCCCCCCATCCCACCCTGCCTCTGTGGATGGGCATTCCCTTCTGTTCTCTCTCTCCTTTTGGGTGTTGTGGTTTGCAAAAGAGGCATTGAGTGGCAATCATGTTTGGTCTATAGTCTACTTTCAGCATGCTTCTCCCATCCTGGGAGGATCCTCCCAACACCCTTTATTTGGTGCTCCCTTCTCTATCTGAGCTCCCTTTTCCCCTAGCATGTGTGGCTATGGAGTAAACCTCCTGGTTACTTATCTCGGCTATTCTTGGGTGTTAGTCTCCTATTTTGTTACTTTATGTTCCCCAGATGAATGCAATCTTTCCATGTCTGTCCCTTTCTTTCTGACTCATTTCGCTAAGCATGATACTTTCCATGTAGTACCACTTGTATGTAAATTTCATGACTTCATCCTTTCTGACAGCTACATAGTACTCCATTGTGTAGATGTACCAAAGTTGCTTTACCTGTTCTCGGGCACTCAGGTTTTTTCCAGATTCTGGCTATTGTAAAGAGTGCTGCAATCTCACTGTAAATTTTAAATAAATTTATTTTATTATGAACATGAATGTATTTTCAAATGTATAAGAGCAGATATTTATTGTTTCATGTACTGTCCGTATATTTATTTTGCCTACTTCTAAATGTAAGTCTTTGGTGTTTTTCTTATTTGCTTTATTGATTTGTAGGACCTCTCTTACATTAAAAAAGGCAGTACTAATTAGTAACCAATTGGAGCGTTCATGTTGCAACAATCGGTTGCAAACATGTTTAGATACCCAAGCACACAGAAAGTTTTCACTATAAGACTTTATTCTGGCTCTCAATTGTTC